AAGGAAACTATATATAACCTTTCACTACAGTATTCCCAGACAACATTTCGCTTCACTGACATTCTTAGGTGACTGGAATTATAGAAGAATAACTTAGAGCGAGTTTTTACGTGTAGGAAAAATTTAAAAAGACAAATAAATATATAGTGCATTACTTTTAACGAGAAGTACTGTGTGCAAATCGGACAAATGGATACTGATGTCTATTTTCAATATTTAAATCGGTTACTCAAAGAGGTATAATTTTTTACCATGTTATTCCTAGATACACTAAAAGACGGACATTCTCATTTCTAAATAAGTAGATTTGTTTTAAAAAGGCAAACTCATCTAACTCAATTCTAAAAAAATCACATTTTTTAGAAACTGACATTTAAACATTTCGCAGAAATTTATTTTGAACATGGTAAATAGAATTCTTCAGAGCTAAATTTTGTGGCAATTTCATGCCAATCGAAGCGATGATGTGAAAAAAACTATAGAATCCTTCTTCATTTCAAGCAAACAGAGTAACGATATAGTACGAAATTGTTGGAGGATTTAATTCGGAAATTACAACATTTTCCTTTTGTGACATATAACTTTAGCCAGAAGTTTAAAATGACCTGGTTTAATAAAATGAGCTCGCAAACAGAATGGCATTTTTATAAATGCAAGTACAATAATCTTATCTTTTTACTTTTCACAATATTATTTTAGATACTTTTTTAAGAATATTTGTTCTTTATAAACTAACCAAGTTAGAATTTATTATAGTTTTGTTCTAAACGAAGTTTTGATTGCTTTGCTAAGAGCCATTTCTGCTATTTATTTGGTAAATAATTTCTACTGTCGATATTATTAAATACTTCTGCCAATATAATTTTGTTTTATATGATCTTCTTCATACAAAAATATTCGTTAAGCAACTCTCCAAATTACATTTCACCATTAAAGCATAAAATATAGAGTAGTGTTAAGATTTATTTCCTTCGGCGTAATTTTGTTTCGGTTGAACTAACGTATTTTATTTTAGAATATTAAATTGAATAGTAAAGTTTGAGCGTATTTTAGTTTGTTCTACCTAAGCGATACTTGTGTTAGAAAATGTTTCTGTTTTTGTTCTATTAGTAATTTCTACTCGCGAAAAATTTCCTCAAAGAATATTCGTCAACTAAATTAAGCTTCGCTGCATAATTCTAACATAAAATATAAAGTAATGTTTATAATTCTTACTTTTGACACATTTATATTTCCGTTGATTGTTAAAAAAAGTGTTCAATAATTTTGAAAGACCTCTTTTAATGCCCCTTTCTTCTACTTGAAAAATTTATCATAATACAGTTAAAAGCTTGTAGATATAAGTTAAGTTCATCCTTTATTTTCTTCTGCTTTCTTGTTTGTTTCGACAATTTTCCTTTCTGTTTTTGTGGATTATGATTCGAATAATTTTTTATTGATTATCATTCAAAGTTATCGTATATTAAATTATTGAAATTGTACTTTTCTAAATTAAAAGCAAGTGAGTAAATTTTCAAAATTTTCAATACAGTTTTATTTTGATTAAAGTAAGAAATTTTTCAGAATTGTAATTTATATTTTCCAAAACAAAATTTTAATTTAATAAAGAAAACTTTAAAATCGATTATACTTCGTACATTCCGTAATCCCTCTTTCAAATTAAATGTGCTTTAAATTTCAGAAAGGGAACATGACAGATATGTTTGTCATTAGGAATTTGATAAATAGCCTATTGCTGAACATTGTTGGAACCTTGGGCAAAAATTTGACTTCGATAACACCAATATTCTTTCTCTCCTTGTTATTTATGTCAGCGCATCTTGATTCGCTGGAATCTTGTTACATTCATATGAATTCCGAATTCGCAGTTAACGGCATAAGTTCCTCACTGCCCATATCGATTGTAAATTAATCCTAACCTGGTTCTTTAGGACACTGTCGTTTCCCCCTGTTATCGAGGTTCTTCTATTTTGTTCTTCTCCTTATTTTATTTCGCTTGCAACTTTGCTTTTTCTTTTCTTCTTCTTTCTTTTTTTAAAAAAATTTGATTTTCTAATTCGTTGGTATTACGTTTTGAAAACGAACGCTTTTACATAGAACTCTTCTACCTTAGTAATATTTAAAGCTGATAAAGTTTTATTTTTGATTTTTGATAATCAAGTGACTGAGAAAAGTTTTCTTTTTATATGAAAGGCATTCCAAATTGCTGCAATCTCGCCTATTCATATTATTTTTAGGAACTAATTCTCTAAACTCGAGTGCTTGTTTGACATTCGCAGGAGAAATTTATACAAATTACCCAGATAGTTAATTTGCTAAATATTCGGATATAGCAAGAAAACAACATATAAGATATTTTCGAGTTTGTTAACAGGCAAAATTAAAAAATACGTAGAAAAATTTCTGTTAAGATATCAATATCAATTTAGACAAAATAAACTATGTATTAGCCTTTTGTATTTAGGCGAATTATAGAAAGTTTTATAAATATTATACTGGTTTATATAAACCCTTTAGTGACTTCAAGCAGGCACTTGACATCATTAATAAAAAAATTGTATTACGCAATACACAAGTTTAGTATTTCACCAAAGCTATGACTTAACAAAAGGAAAATGAAAAAGAGAAGGTCAGTAAAAATAAAGGTCGAAGAACTGGAGAAGTATTAGCGTTTCACGATAATGTTAAGCAAGTTGATTCGCTATTAGCTATGCTGTTCAACATTATTTTGTAGTTCGCACATTGATCGACAAACGAATACATATATTCACAATGTCACCACAAATCTGGGCATACGCATACGATGTAGTAATTAGTAATTAGTGCAAGATCGAAAAATAGACTAATACGGCTAATAAAAGAACATATAAGAAAAATCAAATGAAACCAAAATGAAATTCATGAAACTTGAAAAGAAAAGAAACATACAAGATCTAAAAATTAATGATAAAATTTTTAAGGGCATAAGTACTTTTACCTATTTTGGTGACGAAATAAATAATAAATATAAGATTCATAATTGCATAAATAAACAAATACAAATTATTAGTATTTGCAAATTATGGAGAATTTTCAAATAATAGATTACTAAAAAGTAAATGAATTTCAAGAAATTGTAAAATGCGTACATATGAAACCGTAATAAGGTCAAAAGTAACATATTTATCTGAGTATATATGTAACATATGCACCAAAGTTATGGTATATATGAAACCTGAGTTTTATCCAACAAAGCTGAAACTATATTAATTAGAAGAATTTATGGAACCATTAATAAAAATGACACATGGAGAAAAGGAAACAGAAAAATTAATTAGAATGAAAAAAAAAATATTCAAGATAAAAGAACACACCGGATAGAACGTGTTGTGGAAGAAGATATGCCGAAGAAAGTCTTTACGTGAAAAAAAAATGAAAATGAAAAACTAGAGAAAAAAAATCTAAGTAGAAAATGACGCTCTCCAAGGAGCTGTAAAAAGGAAAAAAGAAAGAAAAAAGGAGAAGTTAAAAAGAAATACTATTTTTTAAAATAAGTAAGCTTGAGTAATTATTTGAAAATTCAGTTTAAATTGTTTTGTGATTTCACTAGAAATAGCAAAATCGCAAGTGTTTAAGTAGTATCGCTCACGAATAATGAATTCAATAAATTTACAATTTCTGAATTAAATTTCAAAAATAAGCACACCAAACTTACCCCATCCAACCAGTGAGTAGATGTAAATTTTCACATTATCAACGGAAAATGTTTTAACGACTAAGATGAAGAGGTACAGGCCTTCAACAAACATCCAGAAGAAATTGGTTCCCATCAGATATGTCAAAAAGATTGTTAAAAAACACGCAATCTGTAAAATTTGCAGAAAAATAAATATTTATTTGAATTTCACAAAACTAAACTACAAACTATCTAAAGAAGTAAAAATATATTTGTGATTTTTATAACACATATTGAGATTGAATAAGGAGCTTGATTGGTTATTTAGAGGCTAGAACAATCGAGATATTATGTGCTGGAGAGAATTTGTATTCCTCACCACCAGGTTAATTTCTTCCTTTCGCTTCGTTAAATTCATACTACCAAAGTGGAAAATAACTGTTGGGCAATCGAAGATTGCCCTACTATGATGTATTTTAACAGGAAGAAGAAATTTTCCGTTCCGAAAGAGGTATCTTATCTGATATCTTCAGCGTGATCTAATTACAGGCCGCTTAATGATTGCGCAGTGATGAGGAATTCAAGCGTTAGAAGCTAACTGGTCAGGAAGATGTGCAAAATATTTCTCATATTTAAAAACATTACAATGAGAAATAAATCATGATTCGAAATTTCATTACCGTCAAGCTAATCGGCTTCATTAATCCCTGGATCTATGATCTGCTTAAAAAAAATCTACCCTAAGAATCTTTAAGAATTAAATATAATAATAATATTAAAATAAAAGAATATAAAACACAAGTGATAGTTTCTAACCAAAAGTAAATAAATAACAATGTTAATAATTAAACCGCATATAAAATGTTACAATTACTGTTAATTTCCCGCAAGTTTATTTTTTGAATTTTAGTACTTTAACAATTTTTTTGTTGAAAAGTAAAAGATATAAAAGATGTCAAAAATATGTTAACGTCCTATTTATGGTAAGAAAAAATAACAGTTCTTATATTTTACAAAAGGTTTTTTTTTCAGAGTAAACTTAAATAATTCTATCTGTGAGAAATAATCTAACTCAATTTCTTTGCAATTAATAAAAAATTTAACTTGAGCCAAATTTTAGTTCAAATTGAAATATAGCATCATAAAGCCAAATTTAAATTCATTTTTAGGTTAGTTTTGAACGATAACATAGTTCAAGCTAGTGCTATATTAAAGTTTGCGGCTAATGTAAATAATTATGTGGCTAAATACGTTTCAAAATTTCTAGCAGCATAGCAACGTTCAAGTTTCTTCCCTTTTTGATCCCTCAGTAAATTCGAGAGAATGACTAAAACTCAATTTAGAGGGTTGAGGAAGAAAACTTTAACCTAAGCAAAAAAATTTAAAAAGATATCCAGCTTTATACCAATTATTTCCGCACTGACCTCTTATTTATGACACTGGTAATGATTTAAAAAATACTTACTCTGCTTGAAATGTAATTTTGACTGGACTGTAATTTGGCTGTTAATATCCAAATTACATCCAACAGGATGTATGTGAAAATAAGATTGGCATGAATTGTGTTACGTAAGCATCTCAACTCTCTGAAATAAAAACAACAAGTTGTAAACACGTTGTATAAAGTTCAGTAACAGGGTTTATGCAACAGAATTGAAACACCTGCAAATAGAGATAACAACTTGAATACAATAAATTCTGCCTTAAGTTGTTTTTTTATAAGCAATTTTCCTTGAAATAAACGGATCATTTGTTAAAGTTTTAGACGTGAATGCTAAATGTCAAAAATCTCGATCTAAATAATATTGCACCGATTTATCCAGGAATGATAGATATTGCATCACTCGATCAACACCTATTTGTTCAAGGTTTAACATGACTCTTATTTCTGACATAAAATAGTAAATATTATAATTGTATTTGAAAACTATTGCACGGTCTTTCAAAAAAAATTTGATTCTGGTCAATACCGTAAAATTCGTATAATGAATCATAATATCATTTAAATTATCTGCAAGTATAATGAGGTACTAAGTTTAACCCTATTTACATTAAATTGGAACTTCGATGTCGAAAATGTACAATAAATTAGCTTGTACTGCAACATGACTCTGTCTGACAATTTGATACAGCGAAGTGGATTTGTACGATACTATGGTTAACCATGTTCGAACTTTTGTAACAGTCTGCAATCGGATAGGAAAATTTCTACTCTAAGAATCTTAAGTTAACCATGCCTTGTATACTTTCCAATGGAATCATATTAGTCAAATGAAGTCATGTGATGTCACAATGACGTCATGCGTGGAGGGGAAAATCAGCAGATAAGAAGGTTTTAGGTTATCTGTTTCTCATATTTTTCATTAAAAGAATTATACATAAAATCCTTATTTTTATGCTCGCAAATGCTATTAAGACGCATTTCAAAAATAAATTTGATATATGTTTTGTTATTATAATAATTGCTAGTATATTTTTTATACAATATAGCGTGACATGGGATAAATAGAGTTTGGAGGTATTGGTGAAGTGTGGTACTTTGTGACAGAGGAGGAGGATTCAAAAAAAAGTGACGTCATTTATGAATCCCCCCTTAATGGAAATATATTACGATTAGTCGTAACTTACCTGAAATTTAAATAACTATTATATCAATTTTGATACCCAGTGCCTGAGTGGTACTGCTTCACGCTCTCGTGCTGCAGGTCCTGGGTTCGATCCTAGGGCCGGGCATGGTTTACTCACCCTTTCATCCCTTCAGTGGGTCCATAAAATGAGTACCAAGCATGTTTGGGGGCTAAACACTGGGGATTACGCTTTCGGTTTATCACCCAACCGGAGCATCTGCTCCTGCACCTTTGAGCCCAAGATCGAGAAATTTGAGATATGCATGGTAAGTCTTCGCCCTCTATGGGCTGTCATGCCTCTGAGTTTAGTATTATATCAATTAAATTTTTAAACAGGATCGGGTTAAACTCAAGAACACAAAATATTAAATTGTAGTAAAAAATATCTTTTTAGAGTTTAATGTTAATAGAACGCAGCAGAAAATCACTTATTTAATTATTTCGAGAATAATTAGAGTACTTAAAAGTTAAGTCTATCGGAGAAATAAATAAAAAATAATTTTTTAACTGTTTTAGTAAGTTTTACACTTTAATCTAAATGGAGCACCGAGGAAAATATTTTGAAACAAAATTTCATCTTTAACTAGAACTTTTCGATAAATTTTTCTTTATAATTCGTTAAGTTTTATACATTTTCAAGTATGTCATAAAATTACAATTTCGTGTCGAGAAACTAAGATATTTTTTATTTTATTCATAACTTAGCGAATAGAGGTAAGTAAATGTTTGCGCTTAAAGTTTTGAAATATGGCAACACTTTTGATCGTTAACTTTAATTTCGCATTTCTTGATGATGTCTAAAACCCGCATAAGAGTTTTGATAAATCACATTCAGAAATTCAATTTTAGAATTCGTTTAACTGTTCATAAACTGTTTATTTTGTGGCTTTTATTATTTATTTAATCTAAAATTGTCGTTTCGAACAAAGACTGAAATACATTATAGTGAAATCTATGTAGGTTTGTCTTGTTTTGGGTGGCATCAAAACGTGGATATTTACTCAAGTCACAACAGAACTTCTAAATTTCTGCGTCGAATTACGTAGAATTTTTCTTAAAAGTTGCTGCATTTTGAGATAATCCTGCCTTATTTCTCGCTTCTTTGCCTGGAGTTGTTCATTTGCAATATTAGAAAAAGTGTTTTTTTCGACACAGTTTTGCTGAAGTTTCAGAAACTCTTTTTCACATCGTGATGCGAACACATGACTCTTATTTCTCTCGTAGTGTCTTTATAAAAAATTTACTACTTTCAGAGTAACATTTTTCATTCCTTGTTCGTTATTATTCAGGAATAACTGTCCTAGGGAGCAGCGCAATAATTTGAGCCTTGCTTTTAGCAATCCTTTTGGAGGTCAGGGACCATTAGTAAACTGAATACCAAAATGGAACATAATGCAATATAAATGCAAAAAGACAAGGAGATCAACGAGTACTAGCAATAAGAATGTGGAGTGAACTGGTAAAGAACTGCAACAAAATGAAGCAAATATGCAACATAATGCAAACGGGCAATATAATACACGAATAACATGATTTAATTGTGACAAACAAAATTTATTGCATTCCGCGTTGATTATTAATCGTCAATCATAACTGTGCTAGGACTCAGTGCAAACTTTTAAGCACTGCTTTTAACAATTCTTTTTGGAGTCAGTGATCATTTACGAGAAGAGTGCACTAGTAATAAAATAAACTGCTATAAGACTGATCATTAAACGCTTAGTCACAGTTGTTTTCCCCACTTTAGTATAATTTATATGCCATTTTTTAAAAAAAATTTCTGTGCAGAAAATAGTAATCTTTTTTTTCCTGATCATTAGCAAAAAATAACTAATTGTAAATTTATAAAAGCATTCTTATGAAAATTTAAAATGCCACTTACTTAAAATATAAAAATATCCATAAAGCTATAGTAAGAGCCACTAGGGAAAAACCATATCCAACATAGTACACAGTTACTGCATCCCGCATATCCCATAGCACCTTTAGAAAAGAAATGGGGGGGGGGGGATATATAGTTACATTAAAGTAGCAAAATACTGCACTACAGTTTATTGCATTTTTAATTAAAAAAAGTTATACCTCCAAATATATTTTTAAGTGAAGCTTACAGTTAAATACACAAACTTCAAAATAATGGCTAACCACCTATAACAGCCTCCTTTCAATCTGACAGTTTTCTTTCATTTCATTGGTTTCAGGCTTTTTTTTCTTCTTTTTTTTTCTCTTAAGAATTTGTTTATGGCACTGTTAGACTACCTTACCTTGAGTCCCATACGTCACAAGTTAATCAGGCAAATACGGGTTCTACAACTACGAGACATTTTAGAGACCTTACCAATTTTTTTCGTGTTTGTTTTGGTTGAAGGTGGAGTTTAGTAGCAAAACAACAGGAATAGGCTATACAGCACAAAGCGTAAGCAATATTTCATAATCTAAGTAAACTTTAAGATTTATTCAAAATTACCCTCACTTACTGTCAATACAATTAAGAAAAACATAATTAGAAGAAGTGTTAAACAAAAAATTGGAGATTAAAAAACATACATTATAAAAAAGGCACAACTATCTTGGATTCTAATACCACCGATCATAACGTTAAGTAAGTAAATATTAGTAATAAAGAAAAACAAAGACGTTAACGGTGATATAAGTTATAAAATTATTTTACTTGCAAGTATTCTTCTTCAACCAGCTTAATGGGTTTACAAGATCTGTAATTTGACCACGAGGACCAGCTTGCATTAAACAAGCATTCACGACTTGCATTTCCTAAAAAAAAATAATGATAAAGCATTTCATTATTCTTTTTATCTTACTCAAATAGTGTACGAATTTTAACATTTTACTTTTGAAATATACTTATTTTATATCAAGGATAATTAATAAAAATGAAACATATACTTTGAAAACTAATCGATACAATTACATAAAATGGAATAATCTTTAATTTAAAAATTATTGCTATTTTTTTAAATCAAAATATAAAAACATCGTCAAAAAGATTGTCACAAAATTATTTTATTTACTTCAGTTTCAGTGTTATTATAGTTTAGAGAACATTCTAACACATATTGGAGTTTGCAGGCTTATAGCCAAAATTTTTAAAAAAAGACTCCTTACTCCTACCACTATAATGAAATCACTAACTCTCTTTACTTCTTTCCTAACAAGATGCTGATATCCGATCATATTGATATTTAATGATATCTATAATAATAGAAGGAGAAGTTTGTCTGTGTGTCACTTTTATAACTCCAGAAGCGTTAGTGTTATTTGGACTTAAAAATTCAGAAAAATAAGCAGCATTTGCTAGAGGCTATCATAAAAATGATTCGCAAATTCCAAATAATCCCTTCGAGAGGAATGTTTCGTTTACTTGAGTTTAGCACATTTTGAGCATTATTACTAATCAGGCGCTTATACAACAGCATACACTTTCCCTATTTATTCATATAAAGGGCAATATTAATGATGTGCGTCAGTGTGCAGTAAAATGTCTCGTTTTTCAAAATTCTCTCAATTCTGAGTGAAAATTTATCAAAGCAAAAGTTGTCATTTTACATGGACATTACAGTTATAAAATGTTTTTCAAATCAATTGATATCTTATGTGAGAAATATTGTGTCGAATTTTCGGTTGAAAACATCAAATTTGCCACTAATTTTAGTTTAATTACATGGTTCTTGCAACAGATTAGTGGAAGATGAGAGGTTGGGTAACAAATGCCCCAAACACACATAATATTATATAATTGAAATGAGTACGCACTTATTACTTAGATAATTTAAGTCTTAACTTCTGGGCATCAATATTAAGAAAAGTTTTTAATAGAAATATTTTTTTGTCTTGGCTGAAGAATTAAAAAATAGTCCATAATAGCAAGTAATTACACAGTAGATTTTCACTTATTAAATTGGTGGCCAAACTAAAGTTCATTTTATTTACCAATTAAATGAGTTAAATAAAATGTAAAGACTTAATTTTTTAGCGCAAATGCTCATTTCCATGGTTATGTTGCCTTTCAGTTCCTGAACAGCTCTATTAAGATTAATTACTTTTTTAAAGTTTATTTTTCGTTTTATAATGCATTATTTACCGTTTTGGATCTGTGTAATCTTTTAACTTAAAGAAAGTTATAGCAGTTAAAGTTCGTTTCGTTTTAACGAAAACCCCCATACAAATGAAATTCATTGACTCGCATAATTAATAATAGCAAATAATTACATAATAAATTTTAGAAAAGTTGCTAATTAGGTTTATTATCCATCAAAGGTGCCATTGAGGTGATAAGCATTTTCTTAATCTCAGTATATGTAGTGTTACGCATTTTAAATTACAAATTCACCACGATATTCACGATATTAGACCAACATGTAAGATACAAAAATTAAATACATTCTCACTTGAGTAATATTAGTTTATTGTACTTACATATTGTCTTGAATTTCGACTGAACGATTTTAAATCTTGAAATACTTGAAATTCTACTTATTTGGAAAGGTGGAGCAGCAGTCGGCTAGCAACTTATGTTTTAAAGATTTAAAGTCTATGATATCCAGCTGTTATTAAAGACAATCTAGCAAGTCTTCTACTGACGTATCCCATTACAGCTAAATTTCGCCACATGGTCCTAATGGTCACGTCTTTTTCACGGCTTAAACGTCATTAAGGTTTGGGATTATTTCGCGAAATATTATTTATCTGTTAACACTGACAATTTTACCGCATACGTTCACGGTCTCGGTCATTAAGTATAGGCGGTTACCCACTACTTTATCCCTGGTTTGATGTTATGCCTGAAATTAGGTATTCTCAACACTCTTGACACTGCAGCCCTAGAAATGTTGAATTCCGTGTCAATTTCTGAAATTGAATGTTCCATGCGTCTAGTTCCAGGTACCATTCCACGTTTAAAGTCATTAAAATTTACATTCATTAAAATTCTCGTCTTGCGGCCATAATTACACCAGAAACATTCTCAAATGAATAACTTGAACCAAAAAAAGGCTTGCCAGTGCACTTTCCATGCATGCGTTCTTTACGCGCTACTACTGCCATCTGTATATTTGCGTAATGCTGTCAAATAGTCAATGGTCAAATAGTCCCAGAGAAATCAAATTTTTAGAAAATATGTAGATTTAAAGTTTGATTTAAGAGCTATTCAACCGATTTGACAAATTTTATGTATTTGTCATTTTTAATTACATTCATTAAAGTTGATGTAAAATTGTTTATGCATTATAATTCGAAAATTTTCAACTATTATTAAATAAAATAATAAAAAATAATTAATAACAGTTATTTTTTGCATGGAATTATCTTTGAACTAACAAGTTTAGTATTTGTGTGCAAAAAATTTTCAATTCGTTAAAAAAATTCTCGAGATACAGCGAAACACGCAAAAAGAAAAATTAACATCAAGGAGTCCTAACACCCCGGGCGTATGAAAGGGCATTCAGCTAGTAAAATAATAAAAAAATAATATATAATTATTGAAACTTTTTGTATGGTATTATCATTGAATAAACGAATTTTATAATTGCGTTCAAAACATTTTCAATTCGCTTTTAAAGATCTCGAGATATGGCAAAACACGCAAAAAGTAAAACAAACGCTTTAAGGGGTCCAAATTTTCGACAGCTCTTTTACTCAAACTATTGGGACCATATTTTTTCTCTTCGCGTCTGCTCCCTTATTTGGATGTCTGGAAACTAAATTCGCTGAAAAAAATCATGTTTATTAAGAGAGAGTACGTTTTGGTGCTTGATTTCTTAGTTTAAACCATCCCCTCGAAATAATTTTATTACCCATTGGCAAAATGGGTCTTGTTTTGGGTTCGATGGCGTGCGCATCTTATTTGGAATTCACAACACTTTTTAACTGTGTTCAAGAGTAATAGTAAACAGTGCGCATGCGTCGTCCTTGCAGGCGTTGCTATGGCAACAGCTGATGTTTGATAATTTCTTTAGAATTCCTTTTTTAACTTTTAATTTTGTTATGCATTAAATTGGTGAGTTTATTTTTGAGGTATGAGAGCAGAGAGATCCCATAAATACATCATTGTGAATCAAAGAGAATTTCATCATTTGAACGATATTTTTGTTTTTATTGAATTAATTAAGAATTAGAAATTCTAACCTACAGTTCAAACTGTATCGTTTTCAAAACTAATTCAGGTGAATATCACAAACAAAGAGGGTCCTAAACTGATAGACACGGTACCGAAGGTTAGAGTTTAAGCTTGAAAAAAAAAACGATGCCAAGGCCTAAACCGAAGCTGAACATGCCAAAGCCAAAGAACGTAGATACCTTAAGCGTTACACACAAACGGAATAACAAAATTATTCCGTTCGCAAACGCAAGCATGTAGACCGTTTCTCACAAAAGTACCAAAGTGGTTGAGAAGAACACTACCGAAGAGCAAATGGTGACTCTCTGAACCTCTTTCATGCAAATACGAGAACTGGGTTTTGATCACCAGTCAGGGATAAAAGGATTCATTGTCAACGTACCCAATGACTTGCATAAGACCGTAGACTTAGATCTGACCGTTAATATTGATCTTGATTGGCTGTTTAATGTCTGTTCAATCCTCAAAAGAATTTACACAGAATGTGTCTGAGCTTCATTTCAATATGTCTGCGAAATTATGTACCGAGCAGTTCAGGATTAACAGCTAAAGATGTCCAAGATGAAAACACAATAAAACCGCTTTTCCAAAAAAAATTAGACAGCAACAATTTTGCCAAAGGGTAACCTGTGATCACCATCGGCGATCGCAATTTTTTTTATTATTTTTTTTTTATAGTTCTAAATTAAGTGGATTTGAAAAATATTTTCTTAACTCGTAAATTTACCTCACAGGACATTAGGTTTGGATATATAGTTATGATAGTTGTGTTACGCCATCCCGTTTACGAGACTCGTATGTTCAATCTCAGGTGAAAAAGTATTATGCAGTTTTTTTGAAAAACTACTTAAACTAATTTTAGAATTCGTCATGGTGCTGTATTTAACTCCATAATACACCTTTTTAATAATAGCTTTTTATTTTATTTTATTACACTCGTTGAACAGTCGACCCAATTTTTGGTTTACGAATACTAATGTTCAACTCCGTCGCCTTGTAATTTTGAACCTAATTCCGAAAGCCAGGGGAACTCCTGGATCAAGTACTGGATAAAATTTGATTTAATGGAGGACTTTTTATGGAATTAACCCTCATTTGCGTTACCTGTAGAGGAAAGCCACGAAAATCACCCATGATTAGCCTGACCTCAAAGGGACTCTAATCCATGATCTGTCTACCACTAAGGATATTTTTTATGCCAGCACTGTGGTCGGTGCGAGCCAAGCGCGAAATTCGTATCGACCGAATTCCGCACTTGGAATTCGAACCCGGTTCACCTCATTTAAGTCGAAAGCTCTATCTCCTGAGACACCACGGTTCTTCCCTAAATAATTAGCGTACCCCCGTGAACCATTAAGTCTGAATCTGAGTACGTTGAATTCATTTATAAGATCACGCTACGTAGCTCTACTCAATATAAAAAGAACTTTTTTCTTCGCTTCTTTTAATAGTTTCTTATTATCCCTTTTTCGTGGTTGGTAAACTCAACAATGTGGATGACAAGTGAGGGTTATGTTACCGAATTAGTAATCCTAAAATTATCTTAATCAATCTAATTTTTGTCTTGTTTTTGTTTCTAGTAGTAATTTTGACCCGTGCTTTTATAAATCTAAATAATTTAAAATCAGCCGTAATTGAA